AGCACAAGGTTCAGATTATACTGTGTAGATTGCCCGTTGGGCATCAGTTGGCCGGGCCCTTCGTATCACAAAGTTCCCAAGTCAGTTGCGACGTCACACAAGGCCATTCATTACCTTGCCGTGCCGTTGGAAGGGTGTTGGCCGAGGCGAACGGCAATCCACCCAGACAATCAATCGTTCGACAATGGGTGGGACCTATGGAGAGAAAAAGGCAGAGGCTTGAAGGCTCGGCAGTTGTTCTGTTCGTCCACGTCCACGTCCCGGGTCGCTGAGGGCTGCGGCCTGCAGAGGAATCACGAATCACCTGGCGGGAGCCGGGAGGCCATGCGACCGAGATGGGCACACGGATGGAAGCGAAGGCAGACGCGGGTGATGCAGTCGTCGATGGGGGGTGGTGGGTTTTGGAGATGCGCCAGTTTTTGTTCCGGCAGAAATGAGACGGAAAGGGAGAGAGAGAAAGAAAAAGGGCTCACATGACTTCGCGTTGGCACGGGCAGACCACCCGCGATGTCGCCTGCAAGACGCGTGGTGGACCCAGTAACGGCGAGCGGGGACCGTGTTTCGCTCGTCTCCTTCTCTCTTTCATCGGATTCGAACTTGGAAATCTGTCCATTCCATCCCATCTTCTACACGGGACTGACAATTATCGAAATAAAATTCGCCCTGGAAAAAGAAGAAAAAATCACACGGAAAAGTCAACATGGACTCGTGACAACAAACTGCAAAACAACCGGTCCTTGACGCATTCTCAACCATTTCCAGTTGTCTGTCTGTCAATCCACAGCCCTGCGCAACGAAAACAGCAACAGCAACAACCACCACCATCCTGTCATTACCACCACCACCACCATGCCACCCCCCGCCCAACCCACCCGTCGGACCCACGACACCTACAACTCCTCCTCCACCGGCCACCAACGCGCCGAAACCCGCGGGCCCCCCGGCTGGCGCGCCTCCCGCAACACCAGACTCCAATCCCAACTCACCGCCGGCCGCTCCGGCGGCCCCCGCCTCCCCGACACCGGCGGCCCCAACGCCGGCACCTACGACCCCATCCTCGACGGCTTCGTCACCCCAGCAGCCCGGGAGCGCGCCACCCACAGCGTCGCCGACATGCTCCGCCAACCCGGGACCATGAACGCCGTACCACCCCCATCCCCATCCCCACCATCAGGACGAGAGCGCAAGATCTTTGCCGGACTGACCATCTACGTCAACGGTCTCACGGGCACCGCCTCGCCCATCTCGGACCACCGCCTCAAGCAGGACCTCGCGCAGAACGGCGCCCAGATCTCGTCGCACCTCGCCCTGCGGACCGTGACGCACGTCATCCTGGGGCGGCCGTCTGCGGCGGGCGCCGGGGCGGGCGCCGGGGGCGGGCTGGCGGCGGGGAAGCTGGAGCGCGAGATTACGAGGATGCGCAAGGGTGGGGTCAGGTTTGTTGATGCCGAATGGTGAGTTCTCTTTTTATTTTCTTCCTGGTGGGGGTGGCATCTTTTTTCCACGGGTACTGTGCTGACGATCGGGTGCACGACGGAACTAGGGCGACCAAGAGCATCGAGGCGGGCAAGCGCTTGCCGGAGGCAGGGTTTTCGAACCTCAAGCTGGCGGCTCACGGGCAGCGGACCGTGCTTGAATTCGTGAGGACTGGTGGTGGCGCGTGAAGGGGGGGGCGGGGGTTGGGTGCGACGGGAGCGCGCAGGACGAGGCGGTTTCTCGTGTCCGTCTGGCTGGTCGTGATGGGGGCCTCTGAGCTTTGTTTTTGTTACGTCTTGGGGCTGCTTCACGTCGGGGCGGCGGCGGCTGCTGTCGCCGGGTTGGACGCACGCATGGGGTTGGTTGGCTAGCAGGGGTCGTGACTTGATGAAGGGTGGCGGCGGCGGCGGGGACGTCGCTGTTTGCTTTGCTCATCTTTTCTATGCAGGACCCACGCGGAGCTGCACGATATATTGCCCTCCATCGTCTTGGTGGTCTCTGGGTCGGTCGGGAGAGGTTGGGTATCACGATGACCGGGTGGAGGAAGCGAACCACGGCACGGGGGGAAGAGAGCGCCTCGTTGTCGCAGGACGAAAGCCACTCGTTCGTTGCATGGCATGGCATGGCGCGGCATGGAAGGTCTGGCGGAACTTGGACTCTGGATTCTGTACACGTATCTATCGCACGAGGGAAGACGGCGCTAGGGATGGCTTGCAGGTGCGCTCGGGGAGGTAGGTCTGCAGATGTTGTCCATCGAGAGATGCGTGCCCAACGGTGCTTGATCAGACCGGGATTGGGATCCCATCTAGACGAATCACGATGATGATATTCATCTCGACTCAACACCAGAAGCAACCGCAACCGAGGTCTAGCGGACATCTCTTGTCGACTTCGTATCCGCCCCCTTTCCCACCGGAAGAAACTAACCTCCAAAACAACAAACCCAAGGGGGCACAGCCAGACCACCACTTCACAAGCACCCTCCACCCGCACTATACCTCCTCCCCTCCCATAGGCAGAAAAGACAAACCCCATCCCCGGCCCTGTCACGGATCGACAGCAGCACCAGCACCGGCACCGGCACCATCTCGCCAACCAGTCTTTGCTTGCTCTGTACGCCATCATCAGCCCGCCGTAATCCTCCATCCACGCCCCCTACTCTCCTCCTAACAGTCCACCAAGTACTGACAAGAAACACGAACAGGTGGTCCTGTTTTCATCCTGCCATGGGCCCCCCCTAAACCATTGACGAGATTCCACCTCTCGTCCTGCACCCGCCCTCTTCTACTTCCCCACATCTTGTACACAGCAGGTCTCTTCTCCCGCCTGCCGTCCATCCCTCCAGAATATGTACGTCTGTCTTGCTCTTCCTCATCCGCTGTGCAGACGGTCGGTCGGGCCGCCTGTGTCACCTCGTCACTGGCAGTAGACAGACAGACAGACAGAAGACTTTTTCTTCTTCTTCTTCTGTTTCTGGTTCTGGTTCTGGTTCTGGTTCCGGTTCTTTGGTGCAGCAGCAGCAGCAGCAGCAGCAGCAGGTGGCGCGGACGAGGTTACACAAGGGGGGGGGGTGGCTATTTTTTTCTTCGGTCGGGAGGGGGGGAAAGGGACTGGCTGGTTACGTGACTTTTAATATGGCTTCAGTATGGGGGCGTACGAAAGAGGGGAGGAGCCAGGTTGGTATGAGAAGAGGAGGGCTTTAACATTAGATGCGACCAGTTTCACTGCCCAGGCTCTGCTAGGTACCAGTTACGGGACAAGATTCGTCGTGGATTTGATGCTCGTTGGGGGTGGCGCCGTCGGGGCTGGAAGGAGAAACTTTGGTTTCGGGATTCCCATTCTTTATTGTTGTTAATGGATGGTTGGATGGCGCTGGGGGGGGGGGGGCGTCGTTGTGTTGCGTGGAAGCTTCCACGCGAGGCAGCTACCCGCGGACAGTGTGTTTCTTCTTTTTCTTTTTCTCTTTCCCTCCCTCTCTGGAATTTCCCGGGGCACTTATGGCCTGGGGGCAATGGGAATGTGGGACGGCCTCGATAATTCCTGGAAAAAAAGGGGGATATACCAACAAACCCAACCACTCCCCCCCTCATCACCAAAGACGACCGCCAGGGATATGCACATGGGAAAGGTAACTCCACCCTCCCTCCATACCGCCCCCCCAAGAGACATCCAGACAGACACCTCCAAGAGCTAAAAGAAAAATGTCTCGAATACAACAACACACAGTCCACCATACACGGCATACATACCTACATGCCGCACCCTCTCACAAGCAACACATGGAACCGACATGCCTACACAGCAACACGACTAGGCTCCCTGCCGTGCTACCTACCCATCTACCTGCGCTTGCAGACTTCCTTCGATTATATACGGGACTCCCGCACGCCGCACGCCGTTTTTGCACAGGGGCGTGTGTTTTGTGCTGCCGGAGGATGACGAGACGAGGGTAGGGTGGTACAGGGGGGGTACCGTTCGGAGGGAGATAGGTCGAGATGGGGTATTCACTCTCTGTTGGTGTGAGAGGAGGAGGGAGTGTTTTCCCCGCCGCCGCCGATACTGCTATACGGGGTCTGTGGTTGATGAGGATGGATGAGATGGGTTGATGTGACTCGGACAAAGTGTGTGTTTTGTGCGTGTGTGTGTGTGTGTGTGTGTGTGTGTGTGTGTGTGTGTGTGTGTGTGCGTACGTGTGTGTGCGTACGTGTGTCTTTGCTGGTATGGGTAGCGAGCTCAGCTGCTAGCCTTGTGCGCTGGGCTGGTGGAGGGTGAGGGTGTTGGTTGGGCTGGGGAAGGATGGTGTTTCTACCGATACCGGTGGTGGTGGTCTTTTTCGGTGAGAGGGGGGCGTTGAGGGCTGCTGGTGAGTGAGCTGTGTAGATGGGGCTGGAGGCAAGGACCTACGGTGTCTCTCCTGTGGTAGTGAGCTTGGGATGTCATCGGCGCCTTGCCAACCAACATACCTACCGTCCCCAAGAAAGAAAACGAGGCCGTACCCAGTCCCACCGCTGACGGCTTCCCATCGTCCCAGTGCAACGAACCACCTAACCCACGGCACCGCAACCACCCCCGTTCCCCGTGCCATCATCATCACCACCAACCCACCCGCCAGCCTAACCGTTTCCCATCCACTCATCCGCCTCCAAATAAATATATTCCCCGTCCAGCCCCGTCGTGCCGTGCCTCCGTCACCCCCGACCCAGTGCCATCTCGAGGGAGCCCAACCTCTCTCAACCAAACCCCGCCTCGCCCCCCCCCTCCCCAAAAAACATCCCACCCACCGCGCCAGGCAACACAGACTCACCCTCCCTCACCGCCCCTCCCCCCCTTACCCTCGTCGGCCCTGCCGAGACACCGTCGTCCAAGACATCCACCATCGGGCCGAACCTCGATTTCCCATCCACGGTCAACCCAGTCGCCGGGCTCATCCTAGTCAACAAATCTTTTTACCCAACCGACATCCACCTCCACATCCACCTCCACAACATAATCCCCCCTGCCCATCTCTTCCATCAACAAAGAAATCGGGCACGGTGTAGCGGTAACATCGCTGACTCTCACTCAGCAGCCCGGGGTTCGCTCCCCGTATCCGAGATTTCCGGCCTCTCTTCTCTCGTTTCGCCGTCCCAAGCAGCAGCTACGATGAATGCCATACATTCATAAATCTTCCGTAGTATAGTGGTCAGTATGTGAGCTTGTCATTCTCCACCTCCTTGGCTATATGAGAACGCTCGAGACCCGGGTTCAATTCCCGGCGGGAGAGATGTGCTGGGGAGGGAGGGGGAAAGGAGCTGGTTGTTTTTTTTTCCTCCTTGGGAGGGGAGAGATAGTTGCTTGTTGTGGTGCTTTTGGGGTCGGGACAGGCTTTCAGCTTTTATGCCATGCTGTGCTGTACCTATATGTACCCGAGTCTGATAAAGATGCCGTTGTAATAATTACTAGGCACCTAGAGGCTATGCCTGTAAAAAGCTAGACTAAATGCCGCCGTCTATAATGTTTCTTCCCATAATGCTTCTTCCCATAATGCCTCTTCCCACAATGCTGTCGTTTATACCATGCCCCTTGACAATGCAACCCCCAAAACAAAACAACCCCCCTTTTACTACTCCCTCCCTAACCAAACACTCCCCTACACCCCCTTCCTCCCCTCCCTCTCCCCCCTCCACCTCGCCGCATTCCTCCTCAACATCCACACCGCCCCGTTCCCCGTCACCCACGCCCCCGCCGCCACCGCCGTCATCAACCACCCGTTCCCCAACCCCCTAATCCCCGGCTGCGCCACCACCGCCCCCACACACGAAAAGATGTTCCTCACAAAGTTATTCACCGCGACCCCCGCGCTCCTCCGCTCGGGCACAAACTCGGTCAGCACCGTCGTCACAGCGCCAAACACCAGCATGCTCCCGCACCCGAACCCAAAGGCCGCGACGCACCCGGCGGCCCAGTGCGCGCCGCGCTGCGCCGCCCACCCGTACCCGACCAGCGCGGCGGGGTACAGCGAGCCGGCGAGCCACATGTTCTCGCGCATGCGATCCTCAGGGAAGAAGACGGCGCGGCCGGTGGCGGGGTCGAGGCGGGCGTGGCGGGCCATGATGGCGTCGATCCAGCGGCCGCCGAGGAGGGAGGCCGTGATATAGCCGAGGGCGGGGGCGAGGTAGACGAGGCCGAGGAGGGACGGGGGGAAGGCGTATGGTGGGGCGGAGAAGGTGGATTGGATGGAGATGTTGAGGAGCTATAGGAAATTCAGGTCAGTATTTGGTAGAATTTAGGGAATAAACCGGGAGGGCGGGAGCTCCGGGACTCCCGGTCGGTGGGAGATGGAGGCCTGGGGCAGTAAGATATCTAGTACGTACTAGAAAGATGCGTTAGCGGAGGGTCCTTGTTGAGCTGGCTTGGTTCCGCCGCAGGAACCGGGAGAGCTCTCGGAGCTCTAACCATGTCGTTTGAATAAAGAAAAGGGGGTTTATTTGGTCCTGTATTTTACGTACCGAAGAGGGCGCCAAAGGCGATGGAGGCCGTGTAGACGGAGATGAGGACCGGGGGGCGGGCGAGGAGGGAGAGGACGAGGAGGGGCTCGATGAGGAGGCGGTGGGCGCGGCGGGCGAGGGAGGAGCGGGTGGGGGAGGAGGGGGGGAGGGTTTGGGCCGCGGGAGGGTCTCCGGGAGGGTGAAGACGAGGAGGACGAGCACGACGAGGCCGAAGATGGCGAGGAACCACATGGTGGAGCGCCAGCCGAAGCGCTGCGAGAGGGCGCCGCCGATCATGGGGGCGAAGAGAGGGCCGGTGAGCGGGCCGAGGTAGAAGAGACCCATGGCGCGGCCGCGCTCCGAAGTCTCCCAGATGTCGGCGATGGTGCCGGCGCCGACGGCTTGGACCGAGGCCGAGGCGCCGCCGCCGAGCATGCGCATGACGATGAGCATGGGGATGTTGACGCTGAGGGCGCTGAGGATGGAGAAGACGACGAACAGGGTGAAGGAGACGAGGTAGATGGTTCGTCGGCCGAGGGTTTCGGAGAAGGAGGACCTAGAATGTCAGTGGAAGTTTCGGAGGGGGGAGGGGGGGGACACATACCACCATAGGGGAAAGATGGACATGGACAGCATGTATAGGGCTACTGTGAGGTTCACAACGGTCTCGGATGTGTTGAAGTGGCGCGTCATTTCAGGGAGTGCGGCTGCCGAGTGTCAGTCAGGGGTAAGCAGGTCGGCATTGTTTACTTGCGGTAAAAGATACCGGACCCCATGGGAGCACCGGCGGCGGCCATGGCAACGACGGTAGTGATGATCCATTTGGTGTTGTTGGTATATTCATATGGAGATTCTATCTCTGGTATGATGGTCAACCGGGCAAGCAGGCCTCGCTGCTCCGACTTGGGGACGATGGCGACAGTCCGGGCAAAGACGGAGACGCGCCGAGATATTGGCTGTGAATCCCGCCTGGCCGAGGTCTCGGAAACGGCCCTTGGGAAGGCTTCCAGGTCTTCCAGGTGGATATCGCTCCCTTTGCTCTCCCGATGCAGCAATCTTTTGCTATCCTGCGACTTTCTCCTGTCCGCAGACTTTCTCCTGTCCAGAGACCCCTTTCTGTCTGAATAGGGGTGGGAGGACGAGGATGCCGTCGGTAGGGTGTCGCCTGCTCCATTGAGAGTCTGATGGAGGTCCACGCTGGATCTAGGGGCCGCCTCGGACCGGCCCGAGGCCTCGGCAGATTTCTCCCCATCCGTCGGCATGGTGAAGGTGGTGGTGAAGGGATTCCGGGAGATGAAACGAGGCACGTAGTCCGGATATCGAGGTCGACATGTAGACAGCCACCACAACAGAATAAAACCAATATTTTCTATTGACGTAGTTGTCTGCTAGAAAAAAATACACAAGAAGACTGTAGATGGGAGAACGAAGGAAGCTCAGGTTGCTTCACTGCAAAGCGGAGCCGGGAATAGCAACCGCAACGATGATGGCGAACGCATCCAAGGCAGGTTGGATGGAGCATGGGACGGAAACTGTTAGCCTGGCCAAGTAATCCAGAAAGATACCTCGGGCAGAAGCTGCAAAAAAGAGACGCTATCTAGCACTGGGATGCCGGTAGTCGCACTTACTTGCCTGCTCAGCCCGTCACGATGGACGGGCGGATGAGGTTCGGCGGCGACGAGCTGCTGTCCCAAGAACAACAGGCTTTGATCTGTGACCCGCGCCATGACTGTGACTGTGTAGGGGCGGGGGATGGCCATTCCATGGCACCATCTCGACACTGCGTCGACACATGCGCCTTTCGCGGCCAATCCCACCATCCTCGCCATCCCCTTCCGAGTCCGGAGCAACATGACCAAGTCTAGTCGCAGTTCGGTCATTCGGCATTGGAGGGCACAGGAGGGGACGAGCGATGGCGCTCTCCCAAGAAGGAGACGCCTCACGAGATCGCAGAGAAATACGACAAACGAGGTTTAAAATTGGGGGCGGCTGGAACTCTGGTTAAATCGGTGCCGGGACGGCAGCCGGAATTGGTTACCTATCGCCCAGGAGGCCGACCCGGAGCCGATCGGGAGTCGACAGCGACATTTTTTTGAAGGGGGAATAAAATCGAAGCAAGTCGTGGTTTTCAGGCACCAGATAGGTCGCCTTGTGACACATCTCTGCGGTGGCTGCATCCCGCACCCCCAAGCACCCCGCCCCCCACCATCACCGTCTGCAGGGCGGCAACAAAAAAGTTGACATCACCACAAACACCGCCCATTCCGCCATGTCCCTCACCAATGCCTCCCCCGCGGACGCGGCGCTGGCCGCCAAGTCCGCATCCCACATCCTGCAGACGCTCTCCGTCGCGGACCGCAATGAGGCCCTCACGCTCATCCACGACTCCCTCGCCGCCGCCAAGGACGACATCCTCGCCGCCAACGCCCGCGACCTCGAGCTCGCGCGCGCCGCCGCCGCAGACGGCACGTTGAGCCAGAGCCTTGTCTCGCGCCTCGACCTCGGCAAGCCCGGCAAGTGGGAGGACATGCTCAAGGGCATCCTCGACGTGCGCTCCCTCGCCGACCCCGTCGGGCGCGTGACGCTGCGCACCCTCCTCGACGACGGCCTGACCCTCGAGCGCGTCACCTGCCCGATCGGCGTGCTCCTCATCATCTTCGAAGCCCGCCCCGAGGTCATCGCCAACATCGCCTCGCTGGCCGTCAAGTCGGGCAACGCAGCCATCCTCAAGGGCGGCAAGGAATCCACCGAGTCCTTCGTCGCCATCTCGCGCGTCATCTCGGCTGCCCTCGACCTCTCTCTCGTCCCCAACGCCGTTGTACAGCTCGTCACCACGCGCGATGTCATCCCCGACCTCCTCGCCCTCGACCGCCACATCGACCTCGTCATCCCGCGCGGCTCCAACGAGCTGGTGCGCTACGTCAAGGACCACACCAAGATCCCCGTCCTCGGCCACGCCGACGGCCTCTGCTCCATCTACCTCGACCCGTCGGCCGACCCGGCCCAGGCCGCCGCCGTCATCCTCGACGCCAAGATGAGCTACCCCGCCGCGTGCAACGCCCTCGAGACCCTCCTCGTCCACGAATCCGCGCTCGCCACCCTCCTCCCCGCCATCGCCGCCTCCCTCCTCGCCGCCGGCGTCCAGCTCCGCTGCGACGCCCGCTCCAAGTCCGCCCTCCCCGCCTCCCCACACATCATCGACGCAGTCCCCGCCGACTACGACACCGAGTTCCTCTCCCTCATCCTCGCCATCAAAACCGTCACTAGCCTCGACGAGGCGGTCGCGCACATCAACGCGCACGGGTCGCACCACACGGACGCGATCCTCACCGAGGACGCGGCGTCGGCGGAGCGGTTCATGGCGGCGGTGGACTCGTCGGGGGTGTACTGGAACGCGTCGACGCGGTTCGCCGACGGGATGCGCTACGGGTTCGGCACAGAGGTGGGCATCAGCACCAACAAGATACACTCGCGGGGGCCGGTGGGGCTGGAGGGGCTGATGATCTACAAGTACAAGGTGAGGGGGCGGGGGCATGTGACGGCGGTGTATGGGGAGGGGGAGGGGAAGAGGCGGTTTAGGCATGAGAGTTTGCCGTTGTAGGGGGGGGGGTTCCAGTTGGAGAGGGGGTAAGGGGGGGTAGGAGGGATAGATAAAATGGGGTAGAAGCGGATATATTGGTTGGTGTAGATGGTGTTTAGATGGTGATGGTATCGCGGCAAAAAGGGGTGTCAATAACGGACAGTTTCCAGACCACCCCATCTTTAGATGAGGCATAACGCTAGAGAAAACCTGGTA